AACAGACATGTCGAGCTCGTGACATCGCTCACAAGTCCAAACTTTCAGGCGCAACCAGTTCGTCCCTGCAATTGGGGCTAGGTTTTCAAGCTGGCAGAAAGTGAATGCTCCTCCCTTCAGGTCATCGCAAATCATCCTTGGTTGTCCAACGCTACTTGACGACCCAAGGAGTCAAGTTGGCATTCATCATGATCCATCATGGCACTGTGACTGCGCATTGCGTCAGCACTTGATGCCCGATGCACTGATCCACGACAGAAACTGTGGAAGGAAAGGCTCGCTATGAAAAACACTGCGCACCCCAAATGAAGCCTGACTTGAAGAGTTATAACTCGTTTATTGACCTATATAGCCTATATCGAATCGAAAACGAATCTAGCTGAACATGCTGAACCTTTAGAAATGAATTAAAGCATGCTCATCTGGGGGCATCTCTGACAGTTGAGGCAAAAAACCATGGGAAATGCATGCTGCCTACACTTTGGTTGCACCCGGACCTCACGCGGCACCTCCACCGAAAGGTCCATTCCTCAGCAAGTTGCAGTGCGCGATGATGGGAACAGCACACTAGCCTAGTAGCACGGACTGAGCCGTTTGATTCCCAAAAGGTGCAAAAGGATCTGAAAGGCATGTCTTTTTGCATCTCGCATGTTTGGATACTGGAAATTTCAAGAAAGCAACCACTGCCAATTTTGCCATCAGGCAACTTGATGTCTGCTTTGGCTCGAATCTGTTCCAGCGTGTAGTCCACAAGAAGGCTTCCATTCTGCACACTACAAATGGAAACAGGAACAGTTTTTCCTAAGACTAGCATATCATTGCATACCATCGCAGCGGCCGCGATAACCTAATTATGATTGCTTCTTCAAAAATATTTCAATACAAGACTCATACAAGTGCGTCTCTGACTATGTCTGACAAACACCTTGCCACAGTCACAGCTTTGGCCAAATGGATTGACACCAATGCGTCCTTGAAGACATCGACCATAATGTCCTTCTTGGGATCTCCCTTTCCGCTCGAAACGGTGACGTACTTGCCATCTGTGCTGTAGTGCCTAGATCTGCCACATGACAATGACACCTTTGACCCGGCGCAACAGTCGTGTTGTGGTTCTGCACATCATGAGCCCCCTGCGTGCGTGTGCGCACGCAGTTGTGTGTGTGTGTGTGTGCCACCTCCCGTCTCCAAGGACCCTACTTGTCATTTCATTGCGTTCCTCATTACTACTTTGGTTGCACAGTTCCTCGCAGGCGGGCAGTGGTCCCTTCAGCAGTCACTGCCTAACAAAAACACTGCTGGTCGGATGGGAAATTCGGGGAGGACGCTTGCTGAACGTACCTGCGGCTTCGAGGGACTCAAACAATACTGTTTTTGCCGGCCCTTTCTTTTGCCTTTCTGTTCCTCACAGGGCTGTTTTGCAGGTTCAAGTTTTCAGCGCTCTATCAGTAACCTAAAGTGTTAATGTTCCCCGAGATCTCCACTGAAACTCTGCTTTTAAAGTTTTATTCTCAAGTGTGCGTCGCAGCGTTCTCCCACTGCGGCAAGCTGTGTGATCCCCGACACGGGCGCCGTTACTGAGTCCTTCTTCCTACTACGTAGGAGAGAATTTACTGGATATCCTTTCAACAACCAACTTATTTCGCAGAATCTTTTGCTTAAATTAATTTTTTGAATACGCGTCACCCACTGAATTGAATCTATGCTGCAGAGCTACTGTAATGTACTCACTGAATTCGTCTCACCCGGAACATGTCTTTTTCTCAAGTTTCGAATCAATGTTAGTAATTTCAAATCAGTTCTGAATCAAGTACGTGTAGAAACTAAATCATGAATTTTCTGAGAATTTACTTTTACATTGACCCTCGCGCGCATTATCGCCGAGTTCATTGACTACCTCGTTTATAAATAAAAAGTATATATATGTATACATACGTTTCTTGGACATTCAAGTTCGTTGATTGCAACCAGCCATGTCTTAATCCTCGGGATTTCTGCCAGCAGCAGCCGTCACCTCAATACAACTGGCCAACGACCCATTTCCACCAACACCCTCCACTTCACCGTCAACCCATTCCCGCACACCATCCAGAGACTTGGCAGCATCTGTCCCACCACCACAACACAGCATCCCGCCGCATTACCCACCATTACCCCGCACTCACATTCCCAACCCACCGTTGTTCTTCGCGAACAAGTACCGGTTGCCACATCCCATTGTCATCATGTCCACATCCACAACCACTACAACCACATATTTCCACCGCTCAATCCACACCAGCAGGCGCACCTTCTCAGCCCCCTCCCACAGGCTGCGCAGCAACACCGCTGGCCACACCTACCCTTCCTCCAACAGCACCTCACGCACTGACATTCCCCCACAGCTCCTCAACCTCCTAACCCACCGGGCGCCGAATCACCGTTCCTCAGCATGTCCTTTCCAATCACCTCTGCCTCAGAATCTGAACCACATAACCGCTCAAGATCCCCTCTCCCACGACTTCGCCGCCAGAACACCCACCCACTTGTCGCGGCCCTTAGTGTGTACGCCCACAACTGACTTTTAACGCAGGTTTGGTCGCCCAGGTTTTGACAATTAGGTCTGGTTCATCGGTTGCCCCCGCGCACTTAAGGTTTCTCCATCATCGCGACCACACACACTTTTCGTCCTCCTTCTGATGTCTTCATCTTGTCCCTGCTGCGCGCACACACGCGCAATAGAATATTTTTGTATAATGTTGCTTCCCTCATCGGGAGGCGTGTGTGTGAAACCCTTGGAATCATTTGGTTTCCTTCGAAGTTATGGATTTTCAGCAGGGGGCTCTGGGTCCACTTTTCACGCCAGAGCCAACGAAGACGGTGAAAGATTGGACGTGTAAGCGCACCTGGGCATCTAAGCGCAGCTGGTGGTTCTCACGCCGTTGGTCCCTGCTTTCACTAGAAAACAAGACTACCAACCCTTGCGCCGACTTGCCTGAACCCTTGGGCGGTCATACCTAGGTGGGCGTGTGGCATGAGGCACTCAGTTCCGCGCGCAATATTTTGGATTGTGAAGCCCTTGGGATTTTAAAGCACTGCCGGGCGCTTTTCAGCTGATATAGGGGGCAACCTCGTGCGCGTAGCTGGTTGCCCAACGAAGAGGGCTATGCTATGCTACGACTGATATGGAGTGACCAACTCCACGTACCTGCTTTCTTTTGAACTGTTGACGACGCAGTGACTCCACTCTCCGGCCAAACACTAATGAGTTCTTTGTTTCCTTGGTGAACTTCAGTTGTTCGTACTCCTTCTGACTTATTGTATTTTCCATGTTACCGGATCCCTAGGCGAACACTATTTCGGCTCTCAATGATTTCATTGGCATCGTTTGCCATAACACAGGTGAAACTCCTTGAAAAATAACACTGCGCGCTGCGGCCTGCGGCTTTCTGCTGTCAACTGCCACATTCATTGCACCAGTCACCACCAACCTTCCCCCTGACCGTTAACATGTTTTGGATTCCCACCATGATTGGTATCTTTGACCTATGTCACAGGAACACCTCTTCACATATCCCGTTAGCTGTTTCGTTCGAACGTCCCCCTGATCTTTCTGATTTCCCGTATCCGGGTACGCTCATCATGGACGCACAGTGGCAGCAGTATTACTGGCAGCACTATTTGCATCAGCCGGCCCATCAGCCGCAACGAGGCAATCACATACCCCGTTGTACTGGCGTCCGGGGTCAGTACCGGATAATTTCCAGGGACTGACGGGTTTTCAGCCAAAACCGGTGGATAAATTTGAAGGCCAGAGGGCCAACATAAGGCCCAAAAAAAAGTACACAACCAGTGCAGATAGATAATTTTGAGAAGGCCTGAGGTTAGCGAGCTAGACGAATAGGATCGAGGAACCCCCCCCCAAAAGTAGATGCTAATCGACAAACGAGACAAAAAGAAACGATCCCAGGCCCAGGTTTTTCCAACGCTCTACGTGCTCTGTGGTGGTCTGCAAAACTAAGGATTGTTGCGGAAGTCTGCAAACCTTAGAAGGTTGGTTGTGGTTGCGGTTGAGGTTGGTTTGGAATCAATGGATCCAACCACTTGCAAAAGAATGTCGATTGCATGGCCCCTTTGTCTAAGAGTGCGCGCGCGACCCCGCTGGTGACACGCGGGTTTTGTTTGGATCGTTGTAGAATGGTGTAGACACGATAGACCAGAAGGGGGCCCAGGCAGTTGCGAGTTGTCCCTGGCCCCCCAAACACGGACTCGCAATTGATGAAGCAAGAAGGGACCAGGGACACCTTCGTGGTCCCTACTGCGCCGAGCCATCGCCATAGCCCTCCAGTGCGCTATGGGGCGCGCAGACCCATCTGTACACAGTCACCTCTGGGTTACATCGCGAAGGCCTTGAGATCAACAAAGGTTCCATACCCAAGCTCGTTCAGGCAGTTCGCAGAACGCACGCGCCCTCGGCCGGGATCGTCAGGACCTCAGTGGCTAGTTGCTCCTCGTGGGCCGTCGGGCTCATCGAACTCGCCCTCTATCAACCTCAGGGCCAGGGCCCAGAAGGTGGCGAGAGTCAAAGTCCGGAGGCACAGAAAAGGCTTGCGTGCCCCACTAAGAACTGATTCAAAGCCGTGGGCGCTCAAGGGGCCTGCTAGTTGCCCGTTCGAGGCGGCACATGACGTCGTCATGGACTGGTTGATGAAGGGAACGTGCAACGAGGAAGGTCAAATAGCAGGGAGGACATCAGGGCTGCTTACCCTGCGACACCACCTACCTTCGGTTTCCATCGTATGGCAAGAGGCTAAGTCAGGGACGTCGCTCATGTACTTTGAAGGCTTCTCGGGTTGTTGAATGTTGGAAACCGTTGTCTTGATCACAAAGTTCTTTGTGTTCTCGATCACACCAGCATGTCGCTCCTCTTCTCGATCGTGATCGCTGCAATGTGTATGTGTGCGCGCGTGCGCAGGTCCACTAGTCACTAATTGGCTTTAATTATTCTGACCGATCCGAAAGCAACGCTATGGCCAACATATTCCAATATATGCATTATACGCCAATCACCAAGTTGCAAGAAGCCCGTGCCACCTGGAACTGGGTTTGCATCCGAGCGGGGCTTGTACCTGGCCATTTTCACAGGGGCGAGATTGCGTTTGGGCAAGGCGTTTCTAGCGCCGAATATAAACAGTGTCAGTCAAGCCCAACTTCAAGATATACTTTGATATACTGGTAACAATTGCCAGCCACATGCCAAAGAAAATTGAGTTTGCTGACCAGATATCCACCCTCACTACACTGCGCACTTGTCACTATCGGAGAAGCCAGTTGTCTCCTGAATATGCAGGGTGTGCGTGCGTGCAGAACTCTGGTAGCAAACACCTAAACACCTATGTTTGGTTCAAAAACTCCCTGATATACAGTAACCCTTTCAACTCAACTCCTCAGGTGTTCCTCTAGGTCTATGACCAAAACTTGAGTATGACAATTTGATCCAGAAAGTCTCAGATGTCAACAAGTACCACTTACAAACATTGCCTATGAGTTTGATGCTGGAGAACAAAAGTGGTTTCAGTGGCCTAATTACAACACGCTACCGTCTTCTCCAAGTCGCGGAAGCCAACTGGAGCGTCAAGCGGCCCTTCTTGGAGGCCTGTTCATTGAGTGCACAAGTATCTGCATGAATCAAGCCACTAAGAAGGAATGCTGCAAATTTCAAGGGATGGTACAACAGAAAAAGGTGACAATTGGCCAATATCCAAAAGCCCGCAAGCTCTGCAAGTGGAAATAAAACAGTTGAATATATACATCGCACCACGACATCAACAAGTATAGTATATATAATATATATTATATGTTCTCTCCAGTACATGTATGTACATATCATATTGTACAAATAATTATCGTATATATACGTAACTATAGTTATCATATCATTATATAGGATCCACTACGAGGCCACCGAGCCTTGCCCTTGTCGGTGATGGGGTCCTTGAACCTCAGTCTGTCTAATCATTGCGGTTCACAGTGATGAGCAAAACAGCCGTACCACAACAGGTACTGCTACATAAACAAACAACTGGTCCGAGAGCCTTGCACATCTCGGCTCTCTCCGTTGATGGTGATTTCAGCACACCTTCAACCACCCGAATCTTCAAGTCCAGGAGACTGAGACTAGGAGAGAAGGTTGCCACGTCAAGACTTTATCTACTAGTGATGGCCTCCAACCCAATAATGAAACTTGATATACATATATATATATAATATATATGCTTTGGAAATGGTTTGGTCAATGGATGTCAATGGCAGTGGCGTCGGTCTGAGCTGCCAGGCTTGAAAGCACATTTGAAGGTGTCTCGGTTCAACTTTTGCAGCAAAGCTCCACCACTGCCGAAAGCGATGTTGTCCTGAGTGTGTTGAATTGCGTGCACTGCGATTGCGCCAACTGGGTTGCTGTGAAAGAAAAGAGAGAGAGAGAGAGAGCGCGAGCGAGAGCGAGAGCGAGAGCGAGAGCGAGAGCGAGAGCGAGAGCGAGAGCGAGAGCGAGAG